CTCAAGCATCACCCCTCACCCGAACACAGGAACTGTTGGTTGGAGCACACTCTATATTTAAGCGGGGAAAACGGTGTCTTGCATGTTTCCTAGCCTCCCGTCTGTGACGCTAGATTGACGACGCGACTGCGCTTCTGGCCGCGCATTGAGCCCCGGCTTCGCCACCGTCGCCGCCCCTGCAGCCATACACGACCTCGTCGACACGTACGTCCATATTTACGCCGCCACCTTCGCCACCACATGAGCCGATGAGCCTACCTGTTTCGCCTCTCGACATGAACGTAGCGAGCGTTTTAACGATCGTGGAGCCTGAGGACTACGCGGAGCCGGAACTAGCCAAAGCGAAGCCTCCCTAGACGCTGCCATTCCCTTTTGAGGCCGTTGGGCGGACGGTTATAGGCCAGACGTCGACGAGCCTTCAGCAACTTACCTATGCCCAGCATCCCGACTACGACTCCCTTCGCCATCCTTATTATACGCTACTAGAAGCTTGCTTTACGACCTACCTTAGGAAAGTGCTTATCGGACAGAGCGAGAGGCCACGGCTAGGCGGGACAGCGACGGTTTCGAGGCCTCCGCCGATCCTTCAGGGCCATCTTGACTGGCTCAAGCCTGACTCTGCAATAGCCAAAGCATCGGACGCGCGACTGTTCTCGGAGGTTACGAGCCTGTCACGTGGTGAGCAAAAGGAAACGTGGTCCTATATTACGATTGTGCAGGCGAAGCTTTCGCTAGGTCCTGCTGCGGCTCGTCGGTAGACATATGGCGGTTCGCGGCCTCAGGAGCCTACCTCGCATTGCTTCACGGCGGCGCTAGCGAACGCGAAGCCTGTCGGGCAAAAGCAGCCGCTCACGAAATTGTAGGAGATCCTTGAGGACCTCGAGCGAGCGTAGCGCCAGGGTATAGCCTCGGCATCTCAGAGCGAAACAGCCGTATCCGTAGCATTAACTCGAGCCTACAAGCCGCCCATCTCCGCCATCACAGCTCACATGTCTACGCGTTGCCTATACGTCTACCTTTACCCCACTACTTTACGCTTCTGTGATCGCCCGGCTACGACTAGTTTTCGCCATACGCGCGCCCCATCTCAGCCATACCGCCTTACATGCCTACCAGCTGCCTATACGCCTATTAAAACGGCTTCCATACGCCCGTGCCACCGCTTCGCTAGGACTCATTTACGCCATGCCCGACTCCTTTACGCTTCAGAGACCACCGAGTTACGACTAGCTTTCGCCGCCCCGGGGCCTACGCGCCTCCGATCGCAGCCATCCTACATCGCATGCCTATCTAGAGCCTCTACGCCTACCTTACCGGCTTGCATACGCCCCTGATGCCGCCTCGCTAGGACTCGCTTTCGCTATGCTCGTTTCCTTTACGCTTCAGTGAGCACCGAGCTCCGACTAGCTTTCGCCATGACCGAACCTACGCGCCTCCCATCTCGGCCATTCTGCATCACATGCCTACCTGCCGCCTATACGCTTACCTTACCGGCTTGCATATGGCCCTGATGCCGCTCCGCTAGGACTCACTTTCGCTATGCTCGCTTCCTTTACGCTTCAGCGACAGCTGAGTTTCGACTAGCTTCCGCCGCCCCGGGGCCTACGCGCTTCCGACCGCAGCCACCCTATATCGCATGCCTATCTAAAGCCCCTACGCCTACCTTACTGGCTTCCATATGGCCCTGATGCCGCCTCGCTAGGGCTCACTTACGCCATGCCGGACAGCTTTACGCTTCTGTGGCCGTCTAGCTCCGACTAGCTTTCGCCACGCGTGGCCCTATACGCCTCCCATCTCGACTATCCTGACTCACATGCCTACCTACTGCCTATACGCCTACCTTACACACTTCCATATGGCCCTGATGCCGCCCCGCTAGGACTCGCTTCCGCCATGGCCGGACGTCTTTACGCTTCTGCTCCTGCCTAGCTCCGACTAGCTTTCGCCACGCGCGGCCCTATACGCCTGCCATTACAGCCATGCTACGCCATCTTTACACGGCTTTGATACGCTTCTACCACCGCCTCCCACCAGCCTGAGTCGCCGTTTTGTGGGGAGCGCCACCCGAGGTCTACATTCATGAGGCTTCCCGGCCGTCGACACAGGTTCCCCCCCTGACCGAGCACGCGAAGTCCCCCCCATCCAGCACACCC